ATCCCTCCACCCAGGCCTCCAGATTTATTATGACTATTGCCTTTTTGTTTTCTCCGCTGACTTTGTCACCTTTGCTTGACCTTCACCTCCTGCACACTGAAGATGGAAATGGTTGTCAAGCAAATAAAAGTGGACCTTTTTTTTAATACCTAGTTTTTTCTGAAAAAAAAAAAAAAATTAGGTCCTGAAGAAAGTTGATCTCTTGAATCATGCACTCTCAGTGGGTTATATCCCCAGCCACAAAAAGAAGAAATAATTGGTTCAGAACCATATTTTACTCTTTTGTTCTGCAAAGTACAGGTAGACATATAGTATATGATCAGTTAGGTGGTACATAGGTAGTTGTCTTGGTAATTTCTTATTGCTGTGATAAAGCACCACAACTACAGCAACTTAAAAAAGAAACATTTAATTTGGGGCTGGTTGTTTCAGAAGGTTAGAGTCCATGAGTATCCTGTCAGGGCATGGCAGCAGGCAGGCAAGCATGGCACTGGAGCAGAGCTGAGAGCTCACATCTTAAGAAACAACCACAAAGTAGAATGAAAGAGACATACTGGAGGTGGCTTCAGTCTTGAAACCTCAAAACTGTTCTCTAGTAACACCAGAAAGCTGCACTTCTTTTTTGTTTGTTTGTTTATGGTTTTTTGTTGTTCAAGACAGGGTTTCCCTGTATAGCCCTGGCTGTGCTGGACTCACTTTATAGACCAGGCTGACCTAGAACTCACAAAGATCCACCTGTCTCTGCCACCCTGAGTGCTGGTATTACAGGTGTGTGCCACCACCTCTCGGCAAAGCTTAATCCTCCCCAAACAATTCTACCAACTGGTACCAAGTGTTAAAACATATGAGCCCATGGGGAGATGCTCATTCAAACCACCAGAGTTGCATCACATTTTGCTGCTGGGGCTAAAAAGATAGTTAACTGGGTAAATCTCTTGATACACAAGCATGAAGATCTGAGTTCAGATCCCCAGAGGCTGCAATAAAAGCTAAGCATGGCAGTGAGGACCTGCGCTAGCATTTGGGTCCATAGACAGGTAGATTCCAAGGACTTGTTAGCCAGACAGACTAGCTTAAATGATGAGCTTTGTATCTTTAATGTCTACCAGATAAATTACTATTAACTAAGTTTTCTGTACAAATATTACTTTATGCAATAAGACCTAGAGCTATGGAATTTATCTCTAATTGCACATTAATATTAAATAAAATTCTTCAGTCCTGAGCACAACAGAGAAGCCTACGGAAGAATAACATTTCTCTGTGTTCTTCACTCTGTGTGTCTGTGTTGGAGATCTTCCTCTATTGTTCTCCACCTTACTTTTTGAAACAGGGCCTCTCACTGAACCAGGAACTTACCATTTCACCTAGTCAAACCTTTTGACATCATGGGTACTTTTACTAACAAATAACATGGAAAAAGCATAGCAGGATATTTGACCTGTTTGTTTTTGTTTTGTGAGTCCCAGGAATTGAACCTAGAGCCTCAAGCCTTCAAGGTAAGCTCAATACACCGAACGATATCCTCAGCCCAGGAACTTCTTATAAACAGTAGTACTGTCTTGCAGAGTTCACATCAGGAAAGACAGACATTTTTATATATGGAATTTGATATATAATTTAAAAATTGCTTGGAAATGTGACAGTGTTTAGCAAACTGCAGGTAGAATACATCTACTACTGCTAGATATTGTTGGGAGAGTAGTGAGACACTAAGACTTTGAGGCATGAGTAAGGGAGTATGGTGCATGTGCAACTGGATCTCCAGGAGGGGGAAAGGAATTTGACTAAGGCTCAGTACAATCCTGCTTTACACCGGTTCTTCCTTCGGAGTAAGTTGGACCGCACCCTAACTCGGAAATATACTATAAAACCACAAAAGAAGTCCTCACATAGGCAAGTCTCTAACTTCAGGCATAGAAGACACAACTCCCATGTTATGTCAATTGTTTTGACAGCTGAGTGTGGTGGCTCATACTTGTAATCCCAGCACCTGGAAGGCTGGGGCATAAGGGTCTTTATACTATCAATCTCCGCTTAGCTTAAGTGCTATGGTCAAAACTTTTGACAGTCTTACAGAATAGGCTGTGTTCAAACTGGTGATCTCTTGCCTCCGAAGTGTTGCAATTAGAGAACACCACACCTGGATTCAATAATTTATATAAGATAGTTTTCCAATACTATATTTAAGGTAATTTTTCAATACTATATTTAAAAGTAAAGTTTTTAAGCCTTTTCTCTGCTCCTTATTTAAAAGATTAGAAGCTGGGATAGGGGTGTGACACTCTGACAGAGCCTAGCATGTATGAGACCCTGGGATTGATTCCTAGCATCACACAGGCAAACATATCCACAAACCTACTTGAGCTGAATGTGAGTTCAAACCAGCCTATGCAGATCAGTCAGTAAAAGGAGGGATGAGAGTATATCTCAAAAGTAGAGCCTTGGCTACCATGTTTAATCTTCACTATCAAAGTAAAATAATAAATAAAATATTAACAATGGCGGTCAGTGGCATTTAAAAGAATTAATTACTATTAATTATGCATATTTGTGGGGTACAGTAAGATTATTCAACACATGTGTATGATATGTAATAATCAAATCAAGGGAGTTGCTATTCCTATTTCCTTAAAAACTTTTAGTTCAGATTAAAACAAAAAATTGCACTTTCAGATTATGTATGGTCCAATATATATACATTAATGTGTGCTGGTCAAAGAAGAGTAACTAACATTTCTCACTCTTAGCTCCTTTGTGTCTGTCATCTCTAGGTTCCTCTCTAGTGGTTAGCTCTAAACTACAGACGAGGTTACGGTGACCTCTGCTCACTTGACTGTGTCATACTTGGCAAAAGAAAACAGAGAAACTATGTTTGGGTCAAGACCTTGATCTGAAATTTTCCTAGTCCCTGAAACCCCAAAGCATGTAGCCAGACTGTGGAGGGCTTTGAAAGTCTTAATAAAGACCTGGGTGTGACAGATTAAAGCCACTTAAATTTGTGAGCTAGAGAGCAAACTGTTCTTCAGGAAGGTGACCCTGGCAGTCCGCTGCATAGCTTGGAATAGGGAAAGAACAGAGGTGAGGAGGCCAAAGAGACTATTGTGTAGTTTGTGTGTAAGGAAAAATGCTTTGAAGTGTTTTTTGGCAAAGATCCTAAAAACGAATAAGATGGACAGAAAATAGAGTTTAGGGGTACAGTCTAAAAGACTGGCAATTGATTGGATATCAGCAGAAAGAAGAAAGTGTTCAAGTTTTGTTTTGTTTTGAGAGAGAGAGAGACATTCAAATAGCCCAGGTTGGCTTCAGACTCACCATGTAGCTGGCATTGAATTCCTGATTCTCCTGCCTTTACCTCCCAAGTGCTGGGATTAAAGGCATGTACTACCATTCCTGGCTAAATATGTTTTTTATAGTCAATGGAGAAACCCGGATAAACAGTACACAGGAAGCATCTGTATTCTTCTGTGACTTCTTTGGAGTTAAGCCAAAAAGCGATGACAAAAAGGGAACAAAAGGCAAAGGACTTCTTCGACCATAAAACAAATTCCATGTAGGAAATTCTGGAGACAAAATAAATGTCAATAACAGCCAGTTTCCATCTATTGTGTACTTTATATTGTGTCCCATATGTATGCTCACACAAATCCATGTGTAATCCTTTAATTCCCGTATTCTGGTCATGTACTGTTAATGTGCTCATTTTACTATTTATTTGTTCATTCATTCTTTTTGTGGTATAAAAGATTGAACCTAGATCCTCCCACATACAATACTGCTGCATTATATTCCTGGATCTTTTATCTTTTCAAACATTAGTGAGTTAGTTGTTTTTGAGTCAGGGTCTCACTTTGTAACCCAGGCTTGCCTGGAATTCACAATTACAGCTCTCCTACCTCTGCCTCTGTGTCAGAGTATGTGTCACCACACCTGGCTAAAATTCAACATGGAAGAAATGACATCTTACTTGGCAACACATGAATATCAGCATTTCTTTCGTGTGTGTGTGTGTGTGTGTGTGTGTGTGTGTGTGTGTGTGTCTCGCCATCATGTGCAGGTGCTTGAGGAGTTCAGAGGTTGATGGCAAGAGGGCTTTCTCAATCCCTATTTCATCTTATCAAATTTTATTTTGAAGCAAGATCTTATTAAACTTCCCGGGTAGGTCAAATATGCATGCAGTCCTCCTTTCTCGGTAGCTGTGCATTTAAGCTTTGTCACCATTGCTGGCTTAAAGTGTTCATTTTATGTAAATGGAAAAAGCAGTTTGGGGTCTAATTTTCTTTTCGAGACAGGGTGTCTCTGTGTAGCCTTGGGTGTCTCGGACTTGATTTGTAGACCAGGCTGGCCTCGAACTCACGGAGATCCTCCTGCCTCTGCCTCCCTGAGTGCTCAGATTACAGGAGTACACCACTTTACCCAGCTTGGGATCTAATTTTCATAAGGTTACCAGTCATTTTATTTTCCTCTTGGATTCGTACCCAGATCTGGCTGTTCGAGGGCTGTAGATCTCAATTCTTACAACTAAGTAAGGATTTTTGAAATAACTGGGCCTAAATCAAGAAAATGGAAACCAGCTAACATGTAGGCATAGGGAAGGGGAAGGTAATGAATGGAGGCTGCAAGAGCTGATGACCGGTTTAGAGTCGTGAGGAGGGGAAAAATGCGGAACGAGGTAGGTTTGATTATTTGGGGGTCCTCTGGGATGCTACAAGGGGGCTGGAGGCTGCAGTATAGTCAGAACAAGGTTCTTCCAGAAGAAAATTCCCACGGCCACCTGGCCAGTGGAGGCGCACAGGAGAACCGCCAGCGACGCCGCTCGGGGCTGTGTCTGGGCGGGCCGAGGGGCGGGGCCTGGCCGGTGTTTTCCCTGAGCGCTTGCCCAGGTGGCAATGCGGAAGGTTAGGGCTTTCTCTGACGGCTTTCCAGGAGGTGTTGCACCTCCTCTGCCGCCTTCCCCCTCAGGTCGCCTTTTCTTCCGCCAGTTCACGGATTCTGTCACGGCGACCCGCAGTCCCAGCATTGTGGTGAGCCAGCGGACTTCATAACAGAGGCAGAGAGGCGGGCCCACGGGGCGGGCCCGAAGGACGCGGGCGGTGGGCGCGGGGGCGGTGGGAAAGCCCGGGGGCCGGGGGCGGTCAAGGGTTCCAGGAGTCTTCCTGGTGGTCCCCACGTGGGCAGCGGGCGGGAAGGAAGGGCGGGCTTGGGGGTGGGGGGGCGGTGAGCAGTCCATCCAAGGAGGGCGGGAGAGAGAGTGGGAGAGGGAGAGCTGACTCTGTGTAGCCCGGGAAGATGGAAAGGGCACTGGGCTTGACCTGTGTGGGCGGCAGCCGCGCTGTGGGAACAGATGGAGGGCAGCTTAGGAAATGATCCGGCGCGGGGAGGGCGGGACCGGGGGGCTTTCTCCAGAGACGCCCAGCTCTGGAAGTTTTGGGGCTTGCTGGCCTCCAAGCACCTCTAAAAAGGATCTTCAGCACCCAAGACGACGGCACGGGAGGGCATGTTCAGGCCTGGGCTTTGCCTCTTAATTCTGCAGATGCCATCATTGATATTTGTGGGAATGTGCAGGTTCTGCGTAGAATCCTCTTGCGGCCCAGGTAGGGAAAATCACGCCTGTTTTCCACCTGAAGAGTGGAAAGGCGCCTAATTTCCCCCGTGGCTTTGGATTCAGATACACTTGATTCGGTAATCCATGCCCTTGGATGCTACAGGTAATTTTATTAAAACAGGGATTTGGGTTTTATGCTAAAGGACAGTTTTTTTCCAAGGCAGCATCTGCTATCTTGCCTTTTCCCCATTTGGCGTTCTTTTTTGTAATCTGCCAAACTGCAGTTCCCCCACTCCCCTCCCACAACCTTGCTGATCATGCTTGATAAAATCGCCCAAAGCTCTTGCCTCCCATTACTTTAGCTTGCTTTATTCGGATTATTGCCCCTGCTACGACTCTGGTGTTATAGTATGTTTTATGTAATATCAGTGTCATAACATTTAGCAGCTACCGGGTTACTTGTTGATTGTCCCACTCACACAAACTTTATTTTGATGTTTTCGGGCAGGGTCTTACTATGTAGCTCTGGCTGATCTGGAATAGGTGATGCTGACCACCAGGCTAACCTTGAGCTTGTAACATTCCCCTTGACTCTTGCCTCCCAAGGGCTGCACCACCATTTCTTGCTGTTTTTGTTTGTTTTGTTTTGTTTTGTTTTAATCCATTCTTGGGGTTGAACCTAAGGCCTTGAACCTACTAGGTAAGCTCTTTACCAATGCGCCAAAAACCCTGTAAACAAGTTTTATAGGGGCAGGACTCAACCACTGTAGTTTTAGCATATAGCATAATGTATGGTTTGTGGGAAGTTTTCACTAAGGTTGATGGGTGAATTAATAGCCATTTGAGCCCTAAAAAAAATGTTGTCTCATGTTGTATTAGACATTGTGGCCTAAGGCAAAAACACTGTGGTTTTGGTTTTGTTTTTGTTTTCGAGACAGGGTTCCGTGTAGCCCTGGCTGTCCTGGACTCTCTTTGTAGAGCACGTTGGCCTTACAGAAATACCGCTGCCTCCCAAGTGCTGGCTCGAAACCATGCCCAGCTTAACACTGTTCTTAATGACTTGGAGTTCTGCTTGTTTAGAATATGTTTTGTGTTGCGCTCAATATCTTCACTTAGGATCAAGCTTTCATTTTAGACAATTTCTTACTGTAGCCCTTAATACCCTACATAGATCAGGCCTTTAACTTGCAGCCGTCTTCTTCTACATCTGTGGGAATTACAAGCAAGTGTGTGCCACCATCAGGTTTTAAGTTTTCTTAAATCTGAGGTGCTGGCTGCTGGTGGTGTTGAAAGGACTGTAAGATAAGTTATGCAAATAAATCCTAATTAGTCTTCAAAATAACCCTGCAACAGTGGTATGTTTGTATGACTGGTGAGGTACACAACAGGTTTTATATAAAAGGTGTATTAGATGGAGATGAAGAGAGAAAGGAGAGAGATAGCAGGACATGATGGGGGAAAGAGAGAGGGGTACCCTGACAGAGAAAGGGGAGAGGGCTGGGATCCAAGAGGGCAAGAGGCAGGAGGGGCCAAGAGAGGGACCCTTGGTGGCTCCCTTTAAGGAGCAAGGTAACCACCCCTGCCAGATGTGGCCACCCAGCCAGTGACACATGATGACATCATAGGCTGCTAGGCAACCCAGAAGCATGTGCCTCAACACTAACAATGTTCACGTTATCAGATACACGTTATCAGTTATTAAATGGGGAGAGCCCCCCCTCCAATTATGTGCTAAGCCCTAGTTTGGATGACCAGCACCATTCGTTAGGAATAATAAACACTTAAATAGTGCTTACTATGTTCTGGTTGCTTTCCTTTCTTTCTTTCTTTCTTTTTCTTTCTTTCTTTCTTTCTTTCTCTTTCTCTCTCCTTTCTTCTTTCTTTCTCTCTCTTTCTCTTTTTCAATCTTTTTTCTTTCTCTATTAATTTTTCTTGTTCCCTCTTTCTTTCTTTCTGTTTCTCTTTTTCATTCTTTCTGTTAATTTTTCTCTTTCCCTTTCTTTTTCTTTCTCTTTCTCTCTTTTCTTTCTCTCTTAATTTCTCTCTTTCTCTTTCTTTCTTTTTCCCTTTCTCTCTCTTTCTTTTTTCTCTCTCTTCTCTCTTTCTTTTTCTCTCTTTCTTTCTCTTTTTCTCTTTCTCTTTCTCCTTTCTTTCTCTATTTTTCTCTCTCTTTTTCTCTTTCACTCTTTCTCTTTCTTTCTGTTTCTCTCTCCTCTTTCTCTTTCCCTCTTTCTCTCTTTTTCATTCTCTTTCTCTTTTTCTTTCTTTCTCTCTTCCTCCTTTCTCCTCTCTCTCTTTCCCTTTCTCTTTCTCCTTTCTTCTTTCTCTCTTTTTCTCTTTTTCTTTCTCTCCCTCTCTTTTTCTCTTTCTTTCAATCTTTTTCTCTTTCTTTATTTCGTTTTCTTTCTTTCTCTCATTTAATTTCCCTCTTTATCTCTCTCTTTCTCTCTTCTAGTTCTTTTTCTGTTTCTCTTTCTCTTTCTTTCTCGCTCCTTCTTTTTTCTTTCTTTCTCTCTTTCTCTTTTTCTTTTTCTTTCTCTTTCTGTTTTTTTTCTTTCCCTTTCTCTCTCTCTTTCTCTTTCTTTCTCTCTCTTTTTCTTTTTCTCTCTTCTCTTTTTCTTTCTCTTTTTCTTTTTCTTTTTTCTCTCTCCTCTCTCTTTTCTTTATCTCTCCTTTCTCTCTCCTCTCTTTCTCTGTCTCTTTTTCTCTCTTTCTTTTTCTTTCTCGCTCTCCTCTTTCTCTTCCTTCCTTTCCTCTTTTTATCTTTCTTTTTGTCTTTCTTTCTTTTTCTTTCTCTTCCTTCCTTTCTTTTCTTCCTTCCTTTCTTTCTTTTCTCTTTCTTTCTCTTTCTCTTTCTTTCTCTCTCTTTCTTGCTTTCTCTCTTTCTTCTTTCCTTCCTTCTTCCTCCCTCCCTTCCCTCCCTCCCTCCTTTTCTCCCTTCTTTCCTTCCTCCCTCCCTCCCTTCTTCTCCTCCTTCCTTTCTTCC